GGGGGGGGGGGGAGACAAAAATAAGAATCGCGCAAGGAAAACAGAAAGAGAAAAAAATTGTGCACCAAAAAAGTTTAAAAAAAATCGTGCAGAGACTTTTCAATAGGGAAAATTATAAGGTGAAGTAACAAAAATTCGTGCAAGGGATTATATTTAAAAAAATTATCGACACAAGCAAAAAATTTTAAAAAAAATATTCGTACAAGTTAAAGACGTCCCCCCCCTCCCCATCAATTTTCTAATGGTCTGCCCCTTAGTATAATAATATTACTCCATATATTACTCAATATATTATTCCATATAATAACATATTACTCCACTATATATTACTACATTTTTAGAGATATTGATAATTCAACTTTTGGTAAACTATTTTGTGTAATAGAGATGTTAAAACCGATTAATGAAACACTCTAGCATGCAAAAACTACCAATTTCAAACACGTTAATATGTTATGGGTTACATGCATGTTAAAGTTTTTTGCTTCCTTACACGAGCGCGGAGGCAGAATGTCGCTAAAATGAGTTATACCGATTTTCGGATGACGTCCCTTTACTATTACATCACTCCGTTTGTTTGGGTCGGCTAATAATAAGGTGTTAACAGGGTAGAATTTTATCTGAAAATATGTTATTTTCTATCTTTTCTATAGCTACGTTTAAACGTTGAAGAGCAGATTAAAGTGAGTAATGAAACACTTTCACAGAAACTGGGTTTCTCTTGTGGTGGAGAAAAAGAAGTTTCTAAACTGAGTCCAAAAGTGAACAAAAAGAGAGGAAAATGAATTATTGTTTGATTTTAAAAAGTTTGGTATAAATTATAATTATTGCTAAAGTTTAATCCATGCATTGTTAAATGGTTGCATTATTATTTAGATGCGTGATTATTTTAACACATTTAAATGTACAGAAAAGTAAATACATTTGTTCCTGTCGACATATTGTTTGCCAGTGTAGGTGGGATACAACTACCTAAAAAATACAAGGAGAAATTTGACCTTTTTTGCGAAGGCTCTTCTTTGGGAAGCTAGTGGCCGGACGAAAGACCTTCGCTCAATACGTCGAATTTCTCCTTGTATTTTACAGGTAGTCTCATCCCTACCGACGAAAGTTTTGTTATTCGCAGTTATACCCGCCGGATTCCCTGGTTGCCCCACACGTTCCTACATGCAAACCAAACCTCTTCCATTGTTAGGAATTGTAGATACTGTTATTGAAACCAAACACCAGTATATTGTTGCAAAATTTTGTGTTGACTGGGACCTAGGGGTCACTTTTTTAACAACTTTTTTTAACAGCTTGCTTAACAATCATATAAAAAAGATCGATGGTAAGATAACATAAGTCCCTTACTAAGTCCCAGAACAGAACAGGACAGAACAGAACAGAACAGAACAGAACAGAACAGAACAGAACAGAACAGAACAGAACAGAACAGAACAGAACAGAACAGAACATGCAGGACAGAACAGAACAGAACATGCAGGACAGGACAGAACAGAACAGAACAGAACAGAACAGAACAGAACAGAACAGGCAACAGAACAGGCGGCAGAACAGGCAACAGAACAGGCAACAGAACAGGCAACAGAACAGGCAACAGAACAGGCAACAGAACAGGCAACAGAACAGGCAACAGAACAGGCAACAGAACAGGCAACAGAACAGGCAACAGACCAGGCAACAGACCAGGCAACAGAACATAAGTCCCTTACTAAGTCCCACCAAAATATTACAAGACAAAGATTACGTTGTACATACAAAACTAAATTGCTTGCTCGAGGGGTAAATTCAAATTAAGATAATCGATTACTGGAAATCATCTACTGTTTTATAGAAAATCAATCGAGAAAAAAAGCGGATTTTTAAATCAAGATATCTTACTACGCGTTACAAATAATTTACCCATCGAGCATGTCAATACTAGACAATTACGAGCAACAGTTTGTTTGCAGTGAACGACACTTATACTGCACAGTGTTTTGCAAGTTCTAGGCCTGTCTTCTTCGAATATTGTGTTCAGTTTATTTTTGTAGTACTCATATAGTTTAGTGTTTAAGGAAAGGAGAAGAGGACAATTTGACATCTCAAGGCAAACACTTCCATAAATATACAATTCTATTGAAGTACGAGTTTCTAAAGAGAACTGTTCTACATAAGTTTGGACGCAGAAAGTCACCAGAATTGGAACGGGTTGAATGATGGAGAGGTTTTTCAATATACCGATTTCAAATTAATGTCAATGCTGTGAATCCCAATCAGCAGACTGACTCACCCACCCAAAGGAAAGTTCCTAACCCTACTATTGCAGTGTTATTTGGAGATGAAAATCCAGATCTCAAGCCCTCTTCGAACCACACCCTTCATCGCCCCAGCTATTCAACACATCCTTGCTAAATACGAGACTGTATTTCAAGGAATTGGAGCTCTTAAAGATCATGAAATTCATCTTCATCAAATACCTAACTGCTTCAGTAGTACAAAAGCCACGAAAGATTCCTAGAATGCTAGCTTTTGAACAAGTGCACTTGTCATAGAAAAAATTGTTCGTCTGTATGGGTCAACAAAGAAAACTTGTCAAAGTAATCTGAGCACGTGATGTGATTAGCCAGTGGACTATTGTAATTTTTCTGTCATGGCGGCGATAAACACCTTTTTCTGACACATTCACACCAGTAAATAAAACTTGTCATATGAAAACTTGTCATAGAGAAACTTGTTGCATATACACACGTGCACTTGGCAAATAAAACTTGTCACATAAAAACTTGTCATAGCAAACTTGCTCGTCTGTGACCGGCTTAATTGTCGCCTTCACCGAGCTATTTTTAAAATGAACTTGCAACCAATCAAAATCTATCATGATGCTGATCAACCAATCAGATTTCCCGTCCACCAGATGGACGGGAATCCCACAGTTTAGGCAGGTTTTGTGTCAGACCCTATTTAAAATTAGGGCCTGAACTTCAGGTTACGTTTTAATCCCATATCCGTTCCGCATTTTCATTTTAACCCCATATTCGTTCCGTTCCCCATTTTAACCCCATATCTGTTCCGTTCCGCGTTTTAACCCCATATCCATTCCGTTCCGCATTTTAACCCATATCCGTTCCGCACTCTAACCCCATATCCGTTCCGCATTTTAACCCCATATCCGTTCCGCGTTTTAACCCCATATCCGTTCCGCATTTTAACTCCATCCGTTCCGCTTCCGCATTTTAACCTAACCCAGAATGGGAAGTACTTAGCCCGCGTGCAGGCCCAAGGGAAATATCAAGTTCCCTTGAGCCTGCTTCCTTGGGCCTGCACGCGGGCTAAGGAAGTACTTTCCTATTTAATTAAATTTAAATTATTAATTGTGACTGGGGAAATGTCAGATCTATAGGCAGAGCCAGCAGAGGTCTTCTTTTCGCTTCCTTGCACAAATAGAGACCTCTGTCAGCAGGGAACTAGATCCGTTGAGTTCACTAGAATTAGTTTTCTGAGAATGCCTTTCGATAAATCTGCAAATGGATGTACAGGAGTGCAGCGCATGAAAGAGAGATTTTCTCGCGCGATTTCAGAGGAAGGAGTAAATCGTGGTTTAAGTTTTAAACCTCGTTCAGACGACGTGTTCGTCGTGACCCCACCAAAATGCGGCACAACATGGATGCAACAGATTCTACATCAGTTACGTAGCGGTGGCGATATGTCATTTGAGGACATTAGCGATGTGGTGCCCTATGTCGAGTTGGCTTATGATGTCGAAATTGACCTCGAGGCTGAGCATAACTATTCACCACGGTAAGATTGGGCCATTCCATTTAATATGTGCACCCCCCCTATTGAGGGGTCTGGAAATCCTATGGGGAGGGAGGGGTTAATATTGGTAATTTCCGAGGGGGTAAATCAGTCGGTCCCTTTGATCTTCAAACAACATAGGCCAATTTCCAAGGGGAGGAATGTGTCGGCACTTTGATGTTCAATTTCCTAAGGGGGTAAAACTTTTAAGGACCCCTCAATAGGGGGGGGGGGTGCACATATTAAATGGAATGGCCCATTTCACATTTTCACTCATGTTTACTTTTAATGTAATTAATATGCACTATGTTGTCTTGTGCAAACACTGGTAGACGTATTGGGGGATATTATATTCCTTGTCTGTTCGCTTCGCTTTTGCTTCTCAAGATAGTTTATTCAATATTCTAGCAACGTGCGAGGAAATATATTACTCGGTGTTGCAGGTACGTCATGCTGTTTGCAACAAGATATGTGGTCATGCATTGTCAATAAAGCTCTTCATTATTTGCTTATTTAAAACTGCTTATCATAAAACTTTAATAAAACTTAAACCAGTTCAAGGTAGGAAAGATTGCTGAGTAGTGTATCATACAATCTGGGTGTATCGAAGCTTTTGGATTCTGTGTTGTAGAAATTAATATTGTGCCTCCTGGGCTGTCTACACCATAGTCTACCGTCATTATTGCACAATACATATGTAGAGCCAGAATTCGAGCCATGAATTATGTCGGTAAATACTAATACTAATTTCCATATGCCAAAATTTACCTGACGTCATTATAATTTTTTGGTTCGAATCCTGGCTTGATATTAGCTTAAATACACTGTATTTAACTTCTGAATATATTAGGGAAGCCTCACTTATTGATTTTTTCCACGAGAAACGTCATATGTTTGTTTGGGTGGGGGTTTGCAGCTGTGATGTTTCTCATGAGTAAACATCATGCATGGAAAAATTCGATAGCTTTTTCGAAAGCCTTGACATTTTGGAATCATTTTTGCAGAATAAAAAAATTACATTCGTAATACCATACCTGTTCTATATTGACTATATACGAGTATACATTTATATTATTATGCCTAGCTTGCGTTAAAAGACTCAAATTTAAAAAAAAAACGCGCTAAAATTATCAATATTTCATGCAAAAAAAGTTGTTTTGAGAAACGTTGGAAATTTTGATGACATATTCCGCACGGAAACATCGCCAATAGCCGACCGTAGAAAATAGTAGAAAATTACTTTATGTGTACTATATTAAAGAACAAAATATCGATAACTATGTGTGACGTTTCTAAGGGGGGTGGGGGGTCTCCAGAGAAACGAACATATGACGTTTCTCATGGACAAAATCGATATGTGAGGCTTCCCTTAGTTTGTAAGCATTTCTTGATGTGTATGTACAACATTTGGTGTTAGTAATATTATCTATTGTAAACTATACTGTGAATCAGGGTCTTAGCTAGGATTTTATATCTTGGGTGTGTTTCAAAATGACCAGGGTGTGCACATGTCAATTACCTTGAATAGCCAAATTCACGGTTCTAGTTATGCTCGCCAACAACAGACAATGCGTGTGGTTGTTCTATGCTTTGCAACCAAATACAAGGCGAGCATACACTCGTATTGCGCACTGACATTAAAATATTAAGTTATTTCAGCAACTCTTGGGCCCAGAATCTTGGGGGTGTATTTAAAACCATTTTAACACCATAAGGTTCCCATTACCCATCAAAGACATTAAAACACCACAGATCAGTTTTGCCAATTTCAACAACTACAGTATGATGTAAATAGGAAGAAATTCTGTCTGTTGTAAGCAGTAACACCTTATTTTATGAACCTACATGGCCTTATATAAATAATGAAGCTGCATTTATTTTATCTAGCCGTGTTTTTCCATTTTTGGCCGCAATAACACGGTCAACACGGCCCTCTAGCTAAGACCCTGCTGTGAATGAAAAGATAGCCTAAAGGTTAAAAAGAGGGTGGAAAAGGGTATTTTCGTGAGCCGTGAATGGTCAATATTAATTTGTTTGCATGAAATGTGAAGTGCTTGATTTTAGTGTCGTGAAATGTGATTTGTTCTACAGCCGTGAGGTGTGATTGTCGATAAGGCCACATAAAATAATAGTTAGTTAGCGTCCTTAGCTTTTGCCAAAAAGTGGGCGGGGGGGGGGTGCTTTTTTATATATTTCAAAATATGATTCATACCGTCATTTTCGCATGCAATTTCGTAACTTATTAACACAATTGCTACAGTCAACAGAATACTATATATATTATAGCCCGTTGATCAATAAATTTAAAAAAAATCCTGAGCGGGGCCTTTTTTGTGGGCAGGCGTCGATGCTAACCAACTATTTATTTTTTATTTTTTATGTGGCCTAAAAATGCTCCGTGAAATGAGAATTAAGGATGTCTGTTTCGTCACTTTCGTGAACTGCGATTTTGCTTTGTTTATTTCGATCTATTTTATATTAGTATAAACCTACTAGTAGGCTATCACATATCGTGGCTTCTGATTGGCTACGTTACTAGTAGGCTATTAGTGATAGCCTACTAATAGAAAATTCAAAATGGCGGAAAATTCGCATTTTGCACTTTTGCCGAAGTGTCTGATGATTTTTTTGGACGACTTGTTGAACAATTCTGTACTAAAAAAAAAACGAAAAAGCAACAAAAATATGGAATGGCAATTTTTAAGGGTAAGAAAATGGACAAAATAACATACACTGAATGAAATTTTAAAATTAAAACTGAATTTTGTAAAACATTTTACGCGAACAAAAACTAAAATATTTGTTTACCTTTAATGGTTTTATGTTTTTTTTTGTGTGTATTTTTGTATTGTGTTTGCAGCCTAGTTGCAAATTAATGTTAAAGTTTATACTAAAACAATTAGACAACTCGGCCTCGTTGTCTACGAGCAAATAGTCAACTCGGCTTCGCCTCGTTCACTATTCGCTCATAGACAATTCGGCCTCGTTGTCTAATTGTTAAATAGTCATAATAGACATGATACGCGATAATCAATTATATGATCTCACTCGATTGCACAAGAGTAAAAACTTCGGAGGCCTTTCGGAGGTCATTGAACATACTCGTCACTCCAACTTCTAAGTTATGATGTAGTTTTTTACTGACAGGTTGTACCATGCATTCAACATACTCTTAATAAACCTATTATTATTATATTATTTTATTAGAATCTAGTTTTCCGTGAAATTGCTTTTTTAAGACATGTGAATGGTGAAATGGCTTTTCTTTCGTTGTGAAACGTGATGCATACCCCCCCCCCCCCGCCCCCCCTAAAAAGAGAGCCTGCATGGAAGCCATACATCTTTGACCCAAATCTGTGCCCAAATCTCAAAATTCAAAATTCTCATTACAGTCGAACCCCTATTAAGCGGACACCTTCGGGACCTCGCCGTGTCCGCTTAAAAGGGGTGTCCGCTCAAAAGGGGTATGTAGAAAAACACAGCAGGAGGCAAAGAGGTGTAATTAGGTGTGTAATTTGAGTATCAAAACAGTAAAAAATATCAAGCAAATAATTAGCATAAAATGGAAATTTCTTTGTACATAAAAGTTCATTAGAAAATGTATACGTCTCCCACAATCATATAAAAAAGGAATCGATACAAGTTTGCTTCCGAGGCTCACGCAGACGATAGCCCATTATAATGTCATTTACATAAAAATGACGTTAGAAAGTTCTTCCAAACCTCGAAATTGTGCGACTTCTGCCAACCGCTCGACAAATTTAAGAGCTTCGGAGGAAGATTTAATGACTGATTCGTTAAGAGACCAGTCAACTTCATCATCTTCGTTCAGTTCGTTGTCATCATCAGTGATCTCACCACAGTCTTCGTTCGTCACTTCCTTAATAATCTTGGCTCTGATGTCTTCGCGCCAGGTTGGTGTGTCACTGTCAATGTGCCATGTAAATTAATCTCAATTGTTATTTACTGTCGAATATTGAATACATTTTATCAGAAAATCTGTCGTCTGTCCGCTTAAGAGAGGTTGGTTTGCCCATTGGGACCTCAAGTAAGGTGTCCGCGTCCGTTAAAGAGGGGTGTCCGCTTAATAGGGGTTACGATAATAGTATTTTATTAAAGAAAACGAATGGGACCTGAGATATGTGTCTGCTTAAAAGAGGTGTCCGCTTAAGAGACGTGTCCGCTTATAGGGGTTCGACTGTAGTGAGGAATTAGATCTCCTATAGTATTTATAGAAATCACGCATTCCTATTTATGGAATATAACTCACCACTTTCTACACTCATCAACATGTAGACTTGCTCCAAGGCTCGCTTGAATTGGCTTCACTTTTGATAGAGTGTGAGATCAGTTTTTAAATCCATATTACTATTAGTAATTAATTAGTTCGAATTTCATGTTTACTTAGTAATTAGTATAGCTTCTAATTTTTTGTATATGTTATTTGACTCCGAAAAGTTCAGTTGGGAGAGTTCAATAAATTATTGTATTTAACCCTTTAAGTTGGCAATGCACCCTACTTTAGTATTTTACTTTGTCTAACGCCAGAATATTTTACTCTGTCTAACGCCAGACGATTTTACTCGTAAAGTGGAGAGTACTACCACTCATGGGTTAACAAATAAAAAACATTTTCCATGTTGATATATACAGTTTTGTTATATAGCTAGTGTGAACCCCAAACGTGATTGGCTGATTTGTAGTCACGTGGCTTTAGATAAATGCAATGTATCCCGCCCGGGCAATAAGTGAAAAATTGTTGCCCGCCCCGACCGGCTACGTACATGTAGTAAGGTTTGAAAGAGACTTTAATATCAATACGTTAGTTTATAATAGTTAGTAATAGTTAATATTGGTAACAGTTAATAGTTAATCTTAATTGAATCACATTACATCTCCCTTTTCTTAAATATATAAAACTTAATGTCAACTTAGCTATGTCTTTCGCTTATCTTAATTGTAACTTTAATGTTTTAATAATTTTGAATGTCAACTACTCTAGTCCAAGATTTTCTCTTGCTTTCAAAGACAATATCTTAATTCTGTTAGGTCTGCTATTTATATTTAATGATGGTGTTGTTTCCTGTTCGTCTTGTTTCTTATCAATGTCCTTGGGAATGTTTTGCAGCTGTACTCGGTTTCGTCTTACTACCGTTGTAGGAGTATCAACCAGATATGATCTTGGTTTCTTTGATGGTCTAATTACTGTTCCGGTACAGTTATGTATTTATTCTTGCATGTTTTATATAGTGTAAAGGCCTGTAAAATCAGTATTTACGTTGTCCAGTTTGCAGTCCGTAATATGTCGTGTTTTAGTGTTAGATGGATGGACTTAGTATGGGATTCTAGTTCTGTTGTCCAATCCTTCAATCATAGCTGTATGTGTATTTTTTATATAATATGATTGTAAAGTTAATAAAAAAAATATATATAACAAAATTATTAAATAAAGTTTCCATTATTATTATTATTATTATTATTATTATTATTATTATTATTATTATTATTATTATTATTATTATTATTATTATTATTATTATTATTATTATTATTATTATTATTATTATTATTATTATTATTACACAAACAGTGCTCAATACCATATAGAGCGTAATATAGTTTTTCGTTTTACCTCAAAAAACCACAACAGTCTGTTTCATCCGTGTGGGAATCATCAGGTGGTGAATAATTTCGAAATTATTCACCATCTGATGATTCCTGTGCGGATGAAACAGATTGTTGTGGATGAAACAGACTGTTATATATATAAGATATATATATATATATATATATATATATATATATATATATATATATATATATATATATATATATATATATATATATATATATATATTGCATGCACTTTGTTCTGTTATTTTAGTTTAGTATAGTATAATTGTGATTCAAATAGCCAACCGTAAGTTACCTTATGAGAGAGATTTACGATTGTATAATGTATGTAAAGAAAAACATTTAATAAAGTTTCCATTATTATTATTATTATTGTGTGTGAACATTTGTTTACAAACGAAGTTCAAACATTGAAATGAACTTGCGAATTTGTTGCGAAGTTCGCGCCCAATTTCCGAACATGGAAACGTAATTGGCAAGTTCGCAACGAACTTGGGACCCGTGCGTTCAAAAGTGACTTGAAGTTGACAATAAACCATCTGTTTTGTTTTCATTGTTAGATGTTACAAGACTCATGCATGGTATCCTCACTGCCCCAAGGGTGCTAAATACGTTGTTATTTATCGTGAACCATGTGCTGCTTTTTACAGTCGCTTTAACTTCCATAAGGGTTGGATGTTCCAACCTGGAGAACTTTCACTTCATGAATACGTAAAGGATTTTTCATTCGCTTATGGTGTGCCAAAAAACAAGATGGACAGGCCGTCCTATTTTGTCCACTTGCTCAGCTGGTGGGAACACAGGAATGACTCGAATGTTTTATTTCTGTTCTTTGAGGATATGAAAGATGATTTAGAAAGCGTAGTTAGGATGGTTGCAGCATTCATTGGAATTCAGGATGAAGAAAGGATTAAGAAGGCTGTAGAAATGAGCTCCTTTGAATTTATGAAGGAGAATAAGGGGAAGTTTGCAGACGTACGCTATGCGCGTTATCGGAATAAAGTTTGTGGGATACCTGATGATGCTGTACCCAGTAAAGTTGTCACAGGATCTGCGACGAAAGGACGAGAGTTGATGGATGACAAAACTAAAGAAATTATTCAGGCAAAGTGGCTGGAAGTCGTTGAGAAACAAACTGGATTTCAGGATTACAATGAGTTGAGAAGTGTATTCAAAAAAGAAAACAAAAATTGTTAAATTGTTACCAATGACGTTCAAACTTTAGCTTATTCTTTAATTTTCTAGAAAACATGTGCGAACTATTTCGCCAGGAAATTCATTGTTTTAGAAAATTATTTTTACAATTTTTCGAAAATTTGATATCATGTTGTTCTTCTAAAAAACCTCAAAAATTTTACCATTTATTGCGTACCCATTTATTGCGTACCCATTTATTGCGTACTTTACCCATTTCATTGCGTACTTTCCAAATATTCCATACGTAGTTATCAGTGGAATTACAAATCTTTATGCTATCATTCAGAACTCGATACTCAGTATAATCGTACTCCTTGTTCTTATAGAGTATTGAAAAGTCAGTCCGAACTTTGTATTCATCATCGTATTTTATATTGATGGTCGAATCTTTACACATTAATAGATCTTCCTGGATATACTCTGTTGATTCGGGTCTGAACTTTTCATCGCACATACAAGGCTTACCGTCTCGCACCCCATAATCATTTCTGGTTAAATACTGATTCCCAGGTACGAAATAGACAGTGAACTGCTTATTCACAGGGTAATACTTTCGGTACAACCATGACTCTCTAATGGGTTTATTGCAACTTTTTTTTATGTATTTTCGCCTTTAGCCATTTATTGCGTACTTTCCAAGTATTCCTTACGTAGTTATCAGTGGAGTTACAAATCTTGATGCCATCATTCAGAACTCGATACTCAGTATAATCGTACACCTTTTTCTCTTATAGAGTATTGAAAAGTCAGTGCGAACTTCGTATTCATCATCGTATTTTATATTGATGATTGAATCGTTGTACATTAATAGATCTTTTTGGGTATACTCTGTTGAATCGGGTCTGTTGTTTTCTTCGCACATTGTAAGTCTGCCGTTTTCCACCCAATAGTCATTCCTTTTAAAATAATCACCATCACCTCCCGAATAGACAGTGAACTGCTTATTCACAGTGTAATACTTTCGGTAGAACCAAGTGGTTCTAATGTGTTTATTGCAACTTTTTTGAAGCATTTTCACCTTTAGCCATTTATTGCGTACTTTCCAAATATTCCTTACGTAGTTATCAGTGGAGTTACAAATCTTTATGGTATCATTCAAATCTCGATACTCCTACACTTTGTTCTCATAGAGTATTGAAAAGTTCGTCCGAAAAGTCCGTCTGAACTTTGTATTCATCATCGTATTTTATATTGATGATTGAATTGTTGCACAATAATAAATCTTCCTGTGTATACTCAGATTTCGAATCAATTTCACGTCTGTTCCGGAGATGTTGAGTTGTGAGTGAAGCGAACGTTTCTCTTTTGTCTATGTCCTTCAAATCATTCTGGTGAAAAATTTGATTTTCAAATGAAGATATATTTTTAGTGCTATCGTTTTGTCATTTTGTCTCATTTGAGTGGGAGATGGTTGTCGATTCTTTGCTTGGAACCTTTACCTCAGGCGGTGATGAAGTTGAAAAAGGTAGTACTGGGCTCTTTTGTATCCTTAATTCATTTCGGAGTGTTTTCATCGCAGTTCCTAAAAATAAATTATGGTTAACAATTATTCCTTCTGAAGTGCTAACATTCTCACATTTTCAAAATTTACCTTTTCTAACCATCTTTGAAAGATCAATTTTGTTCCACGCATTGCGGTCATCAATTTGTTTCGAATTTTCTGTCAAGTTAGAAACGCGTTCGTCTTGTTCGAGAGAAACGTCAACATTCATCTTTTAATTTGTTCGGTTCTGCTTTATCTTCTCACCTGTCATACTCTGAACCACCACCATGATAAAAACAGGCGAAAATCAGACAGAGGGAAAAGAAAACGGCTCGATACAAGAGTCGAAAACTAAAGCCACGACTCATGTTGCAACTGCAAGCGTCGTTCAGCAACTGTGTATTATGTGGGCAAAACACAAAGTTTAAAAACGTTTTCGAGTTTGAGTTTTTTTATTTCACCAGCTGTTCCACTGGTCATGCACTTCATACACTCGAAACGCTACTAAGGTGGCTCGTTACTGATATTGAAATTTCAGGTCGAATAGTTTGATATTCTTATAAATTTCGTATTTTTACGTTTCGTTCTGGGGAATTAGTTTTTACATATTTTTAAAATTATGGTATCATGTACATGCATGGATGCATTAAAATGTTCGTCTTCCAAATTAATTTTCGTAACACTTGAGCCCTGTACAGACGAGCCACAAGTTTCTTTCACAAATTTTGTTGCTCGTGTGTACGGTCAACATGTTTTCCTTGACAAATATCCCGTGACATGTTTTGTTGCTCGACGCTGGTGTTCACGGAATGTTAAACGTTTATCTCACGTCAATGCCGCCTTTGAGCAAATACAATTTATCATGGAAAAATTGCCTATCTGTCCTGGGCTTTAGTCAGGGGTGAAAATTACCCAATACTTTGTATCGCTGGGAAACAAGAACGGTTATTTTTTCCACGCGCAGGCACGTTTTTCGACATTTATGTGCGGGAGAAAAATATACTAAAGCCATTTTCTTTAAAGGAAAAAAAAATCGTTTTCTTCAAATTTAAATTTTTTTGGCAAAACACAATTTTATTTTGGCATTGTAGAATTTTCTGTTTTGTTATACAATGTGCAAAACATATTTTTGTCAATCGAGCGAAATATTAAAATATACATGGCACTTATTAAGTTATTCATGCATGACGTTCGCAATTAACGCTTAAACCTGGTTTCCATATGGTCGTAAGGATTGAGTCACGATCTTTCTCACCAGCCATCAATACAACATTTTAGAACTGAAAATACGCGGAGTGATTATAGCTAGAGAATACTTATGATTTATATGTGGTTTACAGGTATAAACTGGCCGTTGAGAAAGATCGTGACTCTATTTTTACGACCATTACGACCATATGGAAACAGGCTTTAACAACCAACAGATGAAATAAAGCTGGAGGTAGAGAGCAATTCGCAACGTCTTTTTTTTTTGGGGGTTCATTGGTTATTATTTCCGCGCACATGAATAATCATGCAGGTTTATTGGCAATTCATAAGAAATTTCGTGAGCATTTATATGCCCAACCATCTTGTCCCTTTAGTATAGGACGTTGCATATAGTTCTACTCATCTTTTAATAGTTCTGACGACATTGTGTCGCAGGCAACCAAGTGTTAATTTTAATAAGCCCATTTTCCACTAGGCGAATTTGTTCGCGCGAAGCGAAGCGAAGTGAAAAATCAAATCATGGCAATGTGATTGGTCAGCGAAAAAATTCGCCGCGAAAAAGTTGGATGAGTTCCAAGTAGGCAAAAACACTTTTCAGTTCAGAGTAACTCAGAGTTGTGTAAACTGTCTAGTGTGTTTAATATAGCACTGAATAACCGATTTGACTAACTCACGGGCGTTCAATATTGATGACGTCAATACAATTAGCCTTTCTTGCGATGACGAATATCCGCCATTTTTGGGTGGCATCTAATTCTATTTAACCAATACAGACAATTACAATAAAACGATGTGAAAAGCAATGTTTACAAAGCAAATTTACCATCATTCGTCCAAAAAATTATAAAAAGTCGCTGTTATGTGGACTTATCTCGCAGACTTCGGCTGAAAAGCCACACAAAAATGGCGGCGTGAGAAAGGCTAATTGAGTTAGAGTTAAGATCAGTTAAGAGAGTTTTCCACTTCAATCGTAGGGAATTCGATACGTTGCGATACGGTCGAAGTGGAAAACTGGCTATTTAGTGAACGTTGATTGGTTAATACTTCCGTAGTACGCTAAGAAGTTGACTTGCGACGAACTTTTTATTTTGATACGCGAATCAACCGGAAGTACGTAAATTTGAAAACCCATCTTCAAGCTGCGCATGCCCACCGGTACGTACGTCACGGTACGGTACGATACGATACGGGCGAAGTGGAAAACGACCTTGTCTATAGGGCAAGGGTTACGGTTAGGATCAACGACAAACCACAAAATCCAAACTCTTGCACATGCGCAATATTGCCACATTTGAATGGAGAAACTCTTCAGTGAAAGTTACATAAGGTATTGAAGTATCTCCTGTTTATAAGATATTCTGAATTTCCAATATGGCGACTTTTGGCGAAAGTTTTGAATTGTGTAAAATTCCGAGCTGAACTTATTGGCGCTGAAAAACATTCTGAAGACGAACATTTTATTGCGGAAATTTGCTGAGATTTTCGGCATGGAGACTGGTGGGGCTCCCCTTCATGGAAAGCAAAGTAGTAGAAAGATAGAAATTTTGCGGGGTTTTTACTTTACTACAAACATCTAAACTAAAATACGATGTATACATTATAACGTACTTTTTAATTTAATAGCATTATATATTTTAAGCGTTTTCACTTTGGGTAGAATACGTTCCATTTTTTAGTAGTGGTGTACTTGACACTGCGGACTAGATTTCAAATTAATCACTGTTCATTGATTACTGTTTAAATATTACTCTACAGTAATCAGTATATACACACACGTTTTCTTTATATACTAGCTAATACTTGCTTGCTTACTTATTTACACTTATACAGCCGACTTACTTACACTATAGTCTATTCAGCGGAATTTAGTTAACTGGTGGCTTATTGTTTGCTGGGAAATATTTTTTCTTGAGCAACTGATAATTTCTTCGTGTGAAAACAAACGCAATACCAATGTAGGCACCATGCAGTAAGCAACGTTACAGTATACAACGCTATCTTTATGTCGAAATCAAAATCCACGATTCTAGATATGAAGAGAGGAAACCAATAACTTAAGGCTGTAGTGGTTGACAGCTTGAGCAATATGACAAATTTACGACGCTTAACAACATTCGATTTCTGTCCAATCTTTCTGCTGGCCTTGAGTTTTTGGCGAATTCGATAAGCAGTGAGGATGAACATTCCAATTATGTACAACAAAAGACAACCTTGAAGGCCATATACATCAACATCAACTGATCAATCGGGAGTAATTCGACCATTGATACAATCTCCAGAGATCTGTTTATAAATTCTTGCATCTTCCTTCCCATCTCCATCCGCGAATATAATGCGTTCATAAAACTTTAAGCTTGACTGAACATCCTTCTTCAAAGATACAATAGGCTGATAAATCCTTGCATCATCTTCCACAGGCACAGTGCTTTGATCAAAGTCATCAAACCTTAACTCTGGCTGGACATCTTTCTTCAAAGATGCAATAGGTTGATAAATCCTTCCATCATCTTCCGTCGCATCCTTCCAAGGTACAGTGCTTTGATTAAACTTTGAATGGACATTTTTTTTGAAGCATGCAATACGTTGATAAATCCATGTTTCATTTGCTGTCGCATCTTCATGACTTCCATTTGCAAACACAATGCGTTGATAAAACCTTGAACTCGACTGAACATCGTTCTTCGCAGACCCAATAGGTTGATCAAACCTTAGAACATCTTCCTTTACTAGTACAATGTAAACTAGCGTTATGATGACAGGAACTCCCCAGCTGAAAAAACTATACTTTAAAAACCTGTTCCACTTCTTCAGTTCATCAGATTTCACTAGAGTATTCTCACAAAAGGTTTTTCTTAAGTGGTAGATATTAACCGCAGCATTCATAATTATACTATACGTCATAAACTTATTTCCTACAAACAGCCTAGCACACGGTATATCAAACAGTTTACCTACACGAGAATACATTGACAAAAATACTACAAGGTAAGTTTGCCACAACAGCAAGGCGAAACTAAAACTCATTAAATTCAAACCAGGAAGTGTGCGCAGTTCTGGAAGCATGCAGTAAACTATCAACAACAATAGCAAAGAAATAATAGAAAGCGCCAAAGCACATAATGGTGCTATAATAATCTTAAAGTTTGTAATTACGGGGCTACGGCACGGGGCTACGGTGGCCAAGTGGTTAGCGCACTTGCCTTTCACCTCTGAGGCTGCAGGTTCGAATCTCACTAAGTACCTTCTCAGTGCGACTCGAACCCAGTCCCCATGTGAAAAGAGTAAAAGTCAACGCTCTGCCGAACGCCGTGGGTTTTCCCCGGGTACTCCGGTTTCCTCCCACAGGGAAAAGTTGACAGGGTGGGTTAGGTAAAAAGGGCCCACAGTAATTGGCATATGCTGTTGTGGTGACCCTGCCCTAGTTGGCGAAGCTAATAATAATAATAAAAAAAAAAATTGGATTTAACTTCTCTTTGCCGCATACATAAGGTTTACCGTATATCACCGCATAGTCATTTCTTTCGAAATATTGACCAGTATCTGCCGAATACACAGCAACTGAACTGCTTTGTCACAGCGTAGTATCTTGCATTCAATTTATAAGAACGATAACAGAATGCGGGTAATGACTTTTGCCACGAATTTCGCGTTTTCCAAATCGCCTGAACTCTTGAATCATTGGAACTACACATTTCAATACTGTTGTGACTTAATCGATATTCGCAATAATCGTATATCTTGATGTTGTAAACCAGCGAAAAGTTTTTATAAACATTGTATTGTTCACCGTACTTTACTTTGACCAAATCATCATTGCAGGACGATCTGAGCTTTCTTGAACAAATTGCAAAATACCCCATAATCACTCCATAATCTTTCCTTGTGAAACTTTGATTGGTAGGTTTGAAGAAAACAGTAAAGTTTGTATGTAATGTGTAATTTTCGGAGTAAAAACCGTCGACAGCTACACTACAATGTTTGAAAGCTGTCGTTATCTTTTCCGAAACAATGAAATTCCGCCACTTTTGTTTAATAAGACGGTCGGAAGAATTACAGTCTAGTAGACCATCATCCGTTATTCTGTACTCATCGTAAGAGTGCATTCGACCTTGGTACATCATTGAGAAGTTGTTCCATACTCTGTATTCATCTTCATATTTTATAGTAAAAGTAACATTAGCGCATTCAGTCACATATGTTATAAGTTTACCTTTAAACACAGCGTAATCGTACTTTGTTATCAGCTTCTTTCTTGCCAAAATGCGAACTTTAAAATCCTTGAGCAAAGTGTATTCCCGTCGAGTAAAGACAAAGTATACAGGGAGATTATTGCAAATTCCATACTGCATTAGCGCCTTTACCCATTTATTGCGTTCTTTCCAAATATTCCTTAAGAAATTATCAGTGGAGTCACAAATTTTTATGCCATCATTGAGAACTCGATACTCAGTATAATTGTACACATCGTTCTTATAGAGAATTGAGAAGTCAGTCGAAACTTTGTATTCATCATCGTATTTTATACTGAGGATTGAACCGTTGCACATTAATAGATCTTCCTGGGTATACCTGGGAAATATTGACTGTTATGTGCGAGATAGACCGTGAACTGCTTTTTCACATAATACTTTCGGTTCAACCAACTAGACTTTCTAATGGGTTTATTACAACTTTTTTGATGCATTGTCGCCTTTACCCATTTGTTGCGTACTTTCCAAATGTCCCGTACGTAGTTATCAGTGGAGTTACAAATCTTTATGCTATCATTCAGAACTTGATACTCAGTATAATAGTAGGCCTATAGACCTTGTTCTTATAGAGTATTGAAAAGTCAGTTCGAACTTTGTATTCGTCATCGTATTTTATATTGATGATTGAATCGTTGCACATTAATAGATCTTCCTTGGTATACTCTGTTAATATGGGTCTTAACTTTTCGTCACATATATAAAGTTTACCGTCTTCCATCCTATACTCATTTCTTGTGAAATATTGACCACCAGCCGAATAGACAGTGAACTGCTTATTCACAGTGTAATACTTTCGGTACAGCCAAAGGAATCTAATGGGTTTATTGCACCTTTTTTGATAAATTTCCGCATTTACCCAGTCATTACGCAGTTTCCAAATATTCCTTACGTAGTTATCAGTGGAGTTACAAATCTTTACGCTATCATTCAGAACTCGATACTCAGTATAATTGTACACCTTGTTCTTATACCGGGTGTCCCAAAAAAAAGTACTCCGGTTTGATTCGTAATAACTTCTAAACAAGTAAAGCTTTTAACGAGAATTAACTTGCATCAAATAGAGGAAGGACTAACTTAGATTTTGATATATCACAGTTGTATTTCACTTAAAAATTCACAGAGATATTAATGTTTAAAATCGGGAGCATATTTCTGGATGTGTCTGAAATATGCAAAAACGGCGTATCAAATATTAATCAAGATTTGCCCGACTGAAACATGCATTATTACCAGTAAATAAATGGCACTTGACAAATCGTTTATTATGAAACAAAGTATTATTATCTACAAAATAAAAGCAAGACTTATTCGTCCGAAATCCGCATGTGTTCCCAGCACGAATACGTTTCCTTATTTCATGAGACCACTGCATCGCGAAGGATCGTCATGGATCGTTCGTAGTTCTGAATTAGGGCATGCTGTCACAATGGAATTGTGGATTTTCTAACTTCACATTGAATGAATTTTCTAACTTCTGCAACGTTCTGAAATCTTGTTAAGAACACCCAAACTCTTTTGCCTTTCTTAATCTTGGCAAGTTCAGAATAAACTGAGAATGAAACAAAATCAAACCATACAACTCCATAAGTAAAGACATAACAAGCAACTCCCCAGAGACGTCCAACATTTTTGGAACAAAACGTAACAAAATAGTAGCGTTGATACTGTGATGTGTATTTGCAAAAAGCAATATTATTTCCTTCATTAAAGAATAATATTCATCTTGCTCTATCCGAGAAATAATCAACTTTGTTTTGAACCCATGAAAAACATAAAAAATTAGGCTATTTAAGAAAAATTTAAGCGCCTACCTTGCATGGTCTTTCATGTACCTGTAAGTTTGCATAGACGTATTAAATACTTGCATAATTTCGAAAGTTCATATTTCAGGAAACAATGAGTTAAGACTTACATGTAAGATGTCTAAATCTACGCCATATCTCTTACAAACCCTAACGACAATTCGCTGAAATACAAGTTAGCCTGATATGTCATTAAGCAAACAAACGCTGGAGTTAATATTTGATATGCCGATTTTCGCTAATTTTAGACACATCCCAAAATATGCTCCCGATTTTGAACACTAATATCTCCGTGAATTCTTAAGTAAAATACAACTGTAACATATCAAAATCTAAGTTAGTCCTTCCTCTATTTAATGCAATTTATTTCTGTTTGATAGCTTTACTTGTTTAGAAGTTATTACAAATCAAACAGGAGTACTTTTTTTGTGACACTCCGGTGATTATACCTATAATTGTTATACCTATTATACCTAGGTATAATCTATAAATATATCAACACTGCTTTTCAAATTGAGTGCTTACGGCGCGCGACAAATGACAAAGGAATGGGGCGAGCTTAATGCAAATTGACATTTGGAAGCATTATTGGTGCATTCTACACGCCGTTTTGGGCTGCCTATGTACAAACGTTTAAAAAGTTGTTTACTTCTCAAGAAAAATTGTATGTAAACAGAAAAATATTTCAGTTTCATAGCCTATAAATTATTCATTTTTAGCAAAAAGTACAAAACCAAAGGGCAAAGATGAAACAAAAAAACACGTCCACCTGTTTTAATAATAGGTTGTTACAGCTCATAGATTGAGTAAACGGCAGGATTCAATTAGCTTCAACCTTGTTTTCACCGATTTGATCCTTCACAATAATCCTTAGCTGTCCATGACACTCAAATAAATCGAAAAGTTGACAAAAACAAAACAGTAAAAACAACATTGCCGCTCGATTTTGTTGAATGAAAACTCGTTCTGCGCCCGCGTACAATCTTTTACTAGTCAGCGACGCTTTTCAATAAGGGGAATTTCTCGAGTTACACGAGGCTATTTTCTAACTTCATTTGCATTTTACTCACTAGTTTCATCGGTGACCTATCTTCAAATTTTGACCACACATTTATTTTGCGGTAAATTTTATAAATTTCAATTTTTAAAAAAATCTTTAGTGTGGAAATTTCGCAATAAAATTTTCGCTTTTAAAAAAAATCACACACTACAGAATTTTTTTAAACTTTCACCACAGTTACAGAGCATCATTCCTGTTGATATATGAAATAAAAAAGATAGGTCACCGACATCATTTTTAAGATAGCGGCACATTTATGCGTTAAATTGGAAGGCTTTATGCTGTCGTCATGTTGCCATGGGAACATTGACGTTGTCGAAATCTAGTTTGAAATATTCCTTAGGTGACCAATATTGCCACCAAATCGAAAAGAATTCGCGTTCTGCACGAATAAGCCTGTTTTACGGAATTATTGCTTAAACAAGAATAACTGTAGGGAGCCACCTTAAATTAGGTAAAATTCAATAATTTTTATTGCAAGGAAATATTTTCAAAAATAAGGAAATTTTGGACGGTTGGAAGGAAATTATGCTTTTTGAAAATGGAAGCACTGGGTTCGGCCGGAAGCAAGAGAAAGCGTGTTACAGTTGATTTCCACTGATCTGAAATAAGACTGGATAACGCATCTATAGTATACTAGAAAATACATGAATGCAGAAACCCTCGCCTTGCTGACAAAACCATTGTATTTTCCGAACATGAAGTATCTGAAGTAGTTGTCATGGTAACACGATAAGTTTTTAAGAATATTCTTACAAATCGCCTAAAAATATCACTTTTAATTACAACATTATCAATTTCCCAACATATATATGTTAGGTATGTTATTATACGTAATATAAGCTTCAATTTAAGGTAAAATTCAACCACAAACGCTTCGCAAAACGTTTGAAAGTGTCCTTTATAAAACTAAACTGCTAATTAAATGGCTTTATCGATAAACTTTGAGTGTGCAATAAAATTATTTCAAATTTTCGCATGGAAATAACTTTGCTTTCTTTTTATTTAAAAAATTCAATATAATAAAAAAGGGAATCAATATTAAAAATACAATGGAATTATATGCTGTCTTGTTTAGTTGTTTCATATACGCAAAGGCCGTCGGGTTTTAAAACAATTATAAAATCAATATTTAAAACAAATAAATTGATAAATTTCTTGCAAATGAAATATATTTGCAAGAAATTTATCAATCATCCACAGGCGGCCATTGGCCAGAGGCCATTCGCTAACTCCCCAAACGTTCGCTCTCTTACTGGAAATGTCCTGTTGTTGTTTTGAAAGCCGACCAATGACAATGCAGCGTGTAATTCGAATTTGAAGGCCATGAATTCAGATCATAGAAATAATAGATACAATCTCGTACCCAGAGCCATCGTTGAGTGGCTCTGGCCACACGCGATTGAAAAACGATCCTGATTGGTCGATCAGTAAGTTATTGGACCCATACCCCCTGTGGCGTTCACGAGCGCGGCCAATATGAGTGAATACGATATATTTTGCTTTATTTGGCCTGAAAATTTGCTTATTTTGACGGATTTTTTGTTGCTTTTCGTCCGAAAAAGTGGTGAAGGGATTAAGGAGTTGATTTATGCATACTTGAATTCATTTGGGCAAAATAACAGGCTTCGTTATGGTAATAATTCATACTCTTGGTTCACTCTGAGTGAGTATTGATGGGAATGATGGCATATGTCCTTGATCTACCATATTGGAGTGTTATTATTGAAAACAAATTCAAGCGTACAAGACTTTACAAGCGTACACGTATGCTACGACTGTGTTTGTACAAGATTTGGGATTTTTTAATTGAACTGTAAATGTATGAATCATGGTGTGAATGCAACAAATTATTAAACAGCATTTGGATTTGTCAACTCGTTTGGGTTTTTTTTTTTTTTTTTTTTTTTTGTACAGCTTTTAATATTTACAAGTATTTTCTAATAATATTGGGCCAGGGACCTACTAGAAACCTTAACAGGCTTTTTAATTTAGGCCCCTAGTTATAGTTCATTGTTATCTATTAATTAATATATTTACAGTAAAATCAGAAAAACAATTATCTTAGAGTGTATTATTTACAAAAGGAAGGAAAGAACTATAAAGCAAAATAATTACAGTACAAATATAAGTCATATATGAAGGCATATTGACACTAGTCTTTATCACTGTATAATATGTAAGTAGAATGCATAATTTTGAATTATTTTGAATTTGAATCCTATTTTTAATTCAATAAATGATGTTGTTTAACTTGTTTTTTGAAAGCAGTGCAAGAGTTTATATTTTTGATATTCGATTCTAGTAAGTTCCATATATCAGCACCTTTATTAGAAAGAGTATGCTTTGCATAGTTTGTTAGAATTGTTTGATAATATAATATATTGTTTCTGTTTACAGTATTTCCTGTACAACTCTGTCAGAAACATTGGTGTTAGTAGCCAAAAAAGGTTTCATTAAAGGCCATGTAAAGTATGTAATGTAAACAAAGTAACAAACCGTCAAACCCTTTGTTTACATTCTGAACCCAGTGCTAAAGTTGTAAAATATTAGATATATATTATACTAAATTTTTAACACTCTTCTGGTTCGCTATGCTTGTAAATGAATACAGACTAGATATTCAATTCAAGAAAGTTCGGAAGGTACAAAATATTAATAACATTCCAATGGAATGTGGGCCTGCAGAACGCATGCGCAGAACAGACTTTACATGGTCTTTAACAATAGCAGTATGTACTATGTACGGTATGTAATAATATGAAACCGTATACACAATTTATACAATGGTTCCACTAAAATTGGTAAACAAATGATTGTCAACTATTCCACAGTCTTGGTGTGCTGAGTGGTTATATAGTAATACTAACTGAAAAAAAAAACAAGCAGAAACTCAGCATTGGCTACTAACTCTTGAAGAACGGCCTTCGCTAGAAAAGTCAAATTTCTGCTCGTTTTTTTCAGGTAGTACTAGTTATATATAAATATCAGATGTTCATTCTTGTAATGGCCAACTAAGTGTGCAACAAGTAACAATTGTATTTGAAGTCAAATGCTCAACAACAAAAAACTTTACTTTTTCAGAATAAGACTACTAAAACCAAATTTTAGGTTTATTAGTAAACTATCATAATAACTTCATACATCTTTAACAATTTCAGGATCGCCGAAAGTAGGGATGCAGGCAAAAGCCCAGCTCAAAAGGGGCCTCCAAAGCACAAAAAGTTGTGTCAGTGCCAGATAATATGCAGTAAAGTGTAATATATTGTAAAACACCTCTTCTCCCATTTAATAATTATGATGTCATAGGGACCCCTGGGAAAACTTAATGATGTCATATGCTTTCCCTGGAAAAGTTTTACTCCGAGCCCTGCACAACCTCCTAGTGGTGCCATAAAATGAATTGCAAGTTCTAAAAAACCTTTATTGATTTCAATAATGTGTCATTCTGCACATCAACCTAACAAGCAATACAAGCATGAAAGTATAAATGATATTACACTTATTCAAGCAGGACATTGTTATTAATCAGGCCAGGTGTGATTCTTGATTCTTTAACCTAACTACTTTTTATCACATAACTAATGAGCGATGCCACTTTTCCAACAATACTATTCCTTTCTTGAGTATTTCATTATATTAGACTCTTCATTATAACGCAACATGCCAAGCTGTTTACTATTCCAGAATACAGAACTGTATAATTTTGACTTGAAACTGATTTCCATTGTTTCCAGATGTACTGGCATTAATTGGCATAATAAAAAGATTATCATAGGTACAGCCCCAGGTGTATCTGAAAGAAATGTAATACTAAAGTTATAAAATAGTCAACCATTTAATAAACACACACTGGTATACTGCTGGCTTTTGCTCAATTGCTACAGCAGTACCCTTCTTTATTGAGAAAAAAATCTTTATTTTATCATTGTATGAAGAATAATATTTGGTTTTAAACTCCCTAGGTATGTATTGATAGATTCATAATAATGCATGTATAAATAGTTGGTAATAAATATTGGGTATGATCAGCTCACAGGATGCTATAGAATTTCTGAAATCTGCTGCATTTTTAGGGGGTACACAATTATCTTTTGTGGTATTCCAACTAGACTACAATTAGGATGGAAATTCAGAGAACAAGGTTCAAAAATTAACCTTGAAACAAAATAATGACATGATTCACATGAACAATAAAATTGTAACAAATTAAAGAATTATAAAAGGCAACCAAGGCAGTGTGCAACAAGCAACGTTCTTGCTCAAGAATAGCCTATTTAATAAAGCTGAGAGTTATTAAATTACTTTTATATAACAAATAATTAAACGTACTTATACCTTAAGAAGAAATCAGAACATTTCGAAGGAAATAGAAGCCATTTGAGACAAAATATTTGATCGATGACTCGATGAGTGTTGACATGTGTAGAAGCCGGTGTTTCAATCATCTCAAATTACTTGTTAAACGGAAATCACACGTGCACTCAGTATCCTTGTTGTTCACACTAACTGCGCCGAACATATTTTAATGCTTTTGACGGGAAAAATTGCGATTTTATTGATATTTTCAGCAAAAAGTTAGCTCTCCACTCCTCTTGAAAATACTATGGCGCGCGCGAATTCTCGGAGAATGGGTACGAAATAGTTAATTGGAAAATACTGTACTTTTACCGTATTTTCTAATTAACTCAACTCGTGTGGCCAGAGCCACTCAACGATGGCTCTGGGTACGAGATTGTAATAGATATAGAATGCGTACTCCTATCTTTTCTCAGTGAAAATTTTGTCTCCACAAAATGGCGGATTTATAAGGGCATTTTGGTTCCCAGACTCCCAGGTGGCAGGGAATTTCACAGCCTAGTCCCTAGGCCTCTTAGTTCGCCTATTGCGCGTTTCTGCATATTAATGAGGTGACGGCTCCTGAGAGGCCTAGAATAAAATGTTTCAAG